AAGCTCAAGCTAATACTAAAATTATCAAAATAGATACAAATAATAAAATTTTAAAAATATCTGGTCCTTTATTATTTGGTTTAACACTACTTAGCATTAAAAATGTATGTCAAATTTTGGCACTTAATTATAATTTAAAAATTCATCCTTTTGAAGACCTTAGTATTTTAACAAAACAACACAAAATATTAAAAATAGCACATCAGGTTTTAAATACAGTCTAAGATAAAAAAAAGAAAATTTTCATCCTAAAGATTATATAAAAATTAAGTGGGTTCAATTTGAAATTGAAGATGAACAGTTTGATATTAGCTTTAGAAAAGTTGATGAAAAAGTGAAAATAAATGAAAAGAAGCAATTGTAAAATCTTTGGATTGTGGTCAAATAACAAGAGAAGTATATCGATCATTAGCATGAATTGAGCATGATATTCTACGTGAAAGTGCTATATCAGATATAAGATAAAAAATCAACTTATAAATGAAAAAACAAGTTCCACTTTTACTTGTAGATATTTTACAACCAACAGTTCTTAAACAAATTATAGATATACCAGATATTACTGATAAAAACATTATTACAAATATACTAGAATTAATTAGAAAAGGAGAGCAACATCGTATTATAGATATTTTAAATTATATTGTACCTTTTTATATTAAAAAAACATTTTAATTCCTAATATGTCAACTTTACATATTTGGATTTCTGGGGATAGAAGAAATGTGAACGAAAAGTAAAACATGTGATAGTAACTATAGTATTGTTAAATAATTTGCCAGACTTATAAAAACCAGATAATCATCATATGTTAGTTTTATATCCAGGCTCTGAAACATATGAGTCATTAAAAAATACACTAGATTTATTGATTTTAGATCTTTATTTATTACAAGAAAATAGATTTTAGCAAATTAATAGTAATCAGTAGCCAGTTAAATTGTATTTTATCTCAGATTTAAAGTTCTTAGCTACATGTCTTAGAATGAAAGCTGCTAATGCTAAACACTTTTGTTCATAGTGTGATTGCACTAAAGGAAATATCAGTGATATAAATAAGCAGATTACTAAATCAATAAAAATCATTAAAACTGATTATTCTAAAATAAATGGTTATTTAAATGAACCTTTATTTTATATTATACCTCTTTATAACTAGATTTGTGACAAGTTACATATTTTTTTAAGAGTAACAAATCATTTATAGGAATTAATATTGTCGAATCTTGATTGAGAACAAGTTAAAGAAACAATTTGGCAAACAAGAATTTTAGATGAAATAAAAAGGCTTAAAATAGCTTTTCAATTTTGGCGTGAAAAAAATAACAATTTATCATATACTTTACTTATGGGTTCTGACAAGTTAAAAATTTTACAAAATCTTAATCTTACAGCGATTTTTCAATCCACTACTTGAGCAACACAAGTTCAAAATCTTTGGAATCAATTTTATGAACTATATGATTTAATGCAAAACAAAAAAACTATAGGCAAGGTCATTTATAAAAAAGCACAAAATTGGTTAATGTTTTTTTTAGCTCTATCTCAGGGTAAACCTAATAGAAGTAATTTTATTTAAGGAATGTATCGTATACAAGACATTACGCCTTATATTTATATGCTAGTAAACCATATACCTAAATTTTTAAATATCCATTATAACTTTGGACTAGCTGCATTTTCATGTTTTGCTATTAAAAAAAAACTCTATTTACAAGTTTGACAATATTTTTAAAATATATTGAAGAATGAAGGTCATGAGAATTCACGAAGATCAGCAATTTTAGAAATTTTGGAGCACGAGAATTGGCAACTTTATTTTACAACTAATGATACTCCAAATTTTTTTAAAAAATCTAAAAAATATAGACTCAAATCTGAATAATATAACAGGTAATAACAATAATTATAGTAACTTTTATTATAAGTTAATTAATTTAGTAACTATTTTTAATTTTTTAAAGAATTTAGATTCGCTCTTTGATTAT